CTATAATGGAACTATAAAGTTCCATTACCTTGTTACGCAGGACTTTTGACAGTTCTTTTCTGATCCCCATGGCTCATTATCTAGCCTAGTTAGTGCTTCCACGTAAGAAGAGCTAACAAACTCATTGACTATTCATACACTGACACCAATTGCAATTTAAAAAGCCAGAGATGTGGGACATTAACCTCTAATTGGCATTTTAACCCGTGTCTGTCACCTTGTGTGTCTGTACCAAGGCCAAACATTCCAGGGGATGAAAACTTTTGATCATGGCCATTTGAGTGATTTCTGTTATCACTGTGATTTCAAAAGGAGCCAAACAACTATATTGTGATAATAAATGGCTTCATATGATCATCATCCTTCAATAAAAGAGCATTTTTTTTGGCATGATCAGTCATATTTTCAATATCAATGCCAAAATTTCACCATTTCTGCCAGGGTATGCAAACTTTTGAGCACAACTGTATACTTCTACTCCTATATATTTACCAATGGTAGCAGCATTAGGATTTAAATAGTCAGTGTTGCCCGAGAGGGTGAAATTCCACAGACTGCGTTTTGTCTGCACTGGATCACAGCAGATCACATAGTACAAAACAACCATGCAGTTCCATTGCAGTGTGGCTCCAAAATTAGTACATGCACATCTTTGGTGCAATGCGGTGCAATTCGAGCCCTTTCAAAATGAAAGGGCTCAAATCGTACCGCACTGAATTGCACAGGAATAATGAGGTGCAGTTCCTCTGTGATTCAAGATGCGGTGGTGCAGTTCCTCTGTGATTCAAATGCGGTGTATAGTGTGACAGACAAGCTTCCCATTGACGTTATTGCATCTCTGGAAGCTTTTGGGGAGAAGATAGGGAGAGGGTCTAGAGAAGCAGAAGTGCACTAATTATTTATTCTTAGAAGAAGATCATTAGATCTTAAAAGAAATTTCAAAACTATTCAGGAAAGGAAAACTTTTGAACTAAGAATGATATTTCTATTTGATACCAGAGATAACGGCCTTAATTTGGCCATGGGATTCCTCACTCATTATCCAACAGTTTTACGACCCCCTCTGTGAGTGTTGTCCCCCCCAGTCTGCCTTTGCTCTGTCTTATCTCTAGTCTAATCCTAGTTTTATAACCAATGCTGTGTACATTTGTTTGTGTGTGTTTTTTTTTTTTCAGTTTTTTTTTTCTCCCCCCCTTTTAACATTTATTTTAACATTCTGCTAAAACTTTATGAAGTAGTACTGCCTGGACCATGAAGAATATGACATACCCCAAACGCTTGTCCTCAAAATTGCATGTTAGTGCAAATTATAAAAATATCACAGACAGTAATCAATTGTTTCTGTCTAGAAGATCATCAGAAATTATTCAACAAATTGAAAACCAATTGATTGTAATGAATTACAGAACTTTTCACATCCTGGGGAATGTTCCAAACACTTATTTCAACTGAGACTGCCACTTAGATGAGTGTGAAGTGACTTCGACATTATAAACAACTCCATCTGACGGTGGCTAACTTCTACTAGCTCACGGGTGTCAAACTGGCGACCCACCAGCTGGTGCCAAACTACAAGTCCCATGAGGCATTGCAAAATTGACAGTTACAACCATGACTCCCAAAGGCAGAGGCATAAGTTTGACACCTTAGCTGTACCATGATCTGGGTTAGCAAAAACCGTCATACATACTTGATCCTAGTCATTGGTCCTTGCATTGCAAACATGGCGGATGCCGAGATCCATATACAACTAGCAAACGGAAAGGTGCACATGGGCAGGGGAATACACAGAGCAAACAACAATTCCCCAGTGCTGAATAGCTGGACGCTGTGTTGGTGAATTGTTGTATTGTTTATTGATCCTTGCATTGCCTACGAAATAGGCCTGTGTGCACAGGTATTTAAACACTGCAATGTTTATATGAAGTAAATTTGTAAATCATGTATAAAATTGTATTCTATTTTGTATGCTTTGTCTATGTATTGTACACTGCTCTCCTTGTGCACACGGCACTATTAATGTTTTGATTCTGTTTGCATTCCTTCAGGTCCTAATTAGAAGTTAGTCTGCCTATGTAACACCCCTTGTTATCATAAAAGTGCAATTGTAATATTAATGTCATACCTACGTAATCATGGGTATAAAAACCTTCAATTGAGCCAATAAACAGAACAGTTATTTGGAAAGATGCTGAGTGTATCTTTTTGTGTCTGTTTCCTACTGCAGTAGTTATTAATAATTTGGAACCAGTAATCAATATGAGGGTAGGGGTTGCCTATCAATAAAATTTCCAGAACAGTTTAACATCAGTATTACTGTAGTTTATTCTCTCTTTTGTCTTCAGGTTGGCCATGGGTCCCTCTCGTAGTTCTTAGCTGCCTCTACTGCTTTGCCCAAATTGGAATTGAATGGAGCCTGTTCATATTCCCTGAATACAAGTACAAATTTCCACTTTGTGCAAGGAGGAAGTCAGAAAGATGAAGAGAATCGAACAAATTTAGAAGAAACAGAACAAAAAAAAAACAAAGACTTTGGATATTGAGGAAGTTCTCAGATGAACATCACAAGAATGTGTATCAGTATTCTATTTCTAGTTTTTATACTTCTACAGATTTTTTCATAATTAAACTATCACCTTTTTTATTGATCAGTGTTTCCTGCTTTTCTGCTTCCAGTTATAATGAATGTTACCGAACAACTGTGGCTTTGTTTTGTGCCAGTTATGTTACATTTGCTGGCAGTCCATAACGAAACCTGAATGCTGGATAATGGTGAGGGGCCACAACTTTCATAATTCTGATGTAAGAATTGGTTTAAGATGCACATAAGTAAAAAGCTAAATTACACAGTTGAAATACACATACTGTATATGAACGCTCTGCTGAAGTATTTTTTAAGTTTAAATTTATTCAGTCTTGTTACCTTAATGCTCCTGTGAGACAGAACAGCCACTGACCTCCACTGCAATTATTAGGCAGTACAGCTTAGTCAAGGATCCACCCCCAGTAAAGGACCTTTATCGCACTGAGGAGGTCGCCGCTCCTATCAGCAAGCTGCCAGTGTTTGATCAACAACACTGTGCAGTCGCATAGAGCCTGACTGTCTCAAAATCCTGTCCCTCTTTTTTCCCACTGGTCCTGCTATGTAGGGGAAGAATATATTGACAGATTCAGTTACTTATACTAGCTGTTTAACTGCTTTCCCACCACTCTATAGCAGAAATACTGCTATAGGGCGGCAGGGGTGCGCAAAATCATGTATATATGCGTAATTTTGCATTTCCGGGTTTTACCCATCCCTACTCTATCTGAACCTAGGAAAAATGTTTTGGCTTTAGATGTACTTCAAGGGCTTCCTGCTCATGTGATCCTTGTGATTGCCTGTTGCCTCAATTCCCTGATCAGGGTACTGGTGACCGATCATAGTCACCAGTACTGTCATAGTCACAGTGACGGAGCACTGTGGCAAAATGGATAAAGGCTTACCCCTGTGGGGCCTTTGTGTGTATGGCTGGCGAGAAGAGGTTAAAAGACATGTAAAAGCTGAATTGAATCTGATACTCTTCAAACAGAATAAACAACACAGAGAATTAAAAGCCTTAAAGTGACACTAAATGATATCCTTATCCCCCAAAAATAATCCATACACATCTACTACTTAATGGCTTTGTAATTTATTTTTCATGAAATCATTTCTTATTGCGTTTTCAGCCTCCTTTGTAAGATTGTCCATGAACCACCAAACATCTTCTATTCCCCCTCACTTTCCTTTGTTTGGAATGAGCAGTGCGTGTTAGCTGTGGTCATATATAGAGATGAGCGAAGTATTCAAAAATTCGATTCGGCTGATTCTCGAATTCGCGGAATAAATTTGATTTGAGTCGAATATATTCGCTGCGAATTTAACTTATAAAAAGGGTGTTTCTAGGCTTCAGAGAGCCTTTATATTAGTGCAGAACACTGTACCTTTAATTTAAATGCCCTTGGAGTCTGCTGGGGAAGAGAAATAATACTGTCAGTCAGTATGACATGCAGATGAGTGCCGTCGATCTTAGAATCACCGCACACTTCACTCATTTGGGCAGTCACGGGGCCAAAACCAGAGTGTGGAGCCACAGTGTTGCGGTGGAGGCAGCAGCAATGGGAGGCCATACAGCACCCTATGACAAAATGGAACCCACCAGCAGTGTGAGGAGACCTGAAAGTGGCACATGGCAGAGTGTGGCGATGGAGACAGCAGCAATGGGAGGCCGTACAGGGACCCATGAGACACTCTGGACCTGGCAGCAGCATGAGGAGGCGGTACGGGGGCCCATGGCAGATTACGGGCCTGGCAGCAGCAATGGGAGGCCCGTAATCTGCCAGCACCCTATGACAAAATGGAACCCACCAGCAGTGTGAGGAGACCTGAAAGTGGCACATGGCAGAGTGTGGCGATGGAGACAGCAGCAATGGGAGGCGGTACAGGGACCCATGACACACTCTGGACCTGGCAGCAGCATGAGGAGGCGGTACAGGGGCCCATGACAGATTACGGGCCTGGCAGCAGCAATGGGAGGCCCGTAATCTGCCAGCACCCTATGACAAAATGGAACCCACCAGCAGTGTGAGGAGACCTGAAAGTGGCACATGGCAGAGTGTGGCGATGGAGACAGCAGCAATGGGAGGCCGTACAGGGACCCATGACACACTCTGGACCTGGCAGCAGCATGAGGAGGCGGTACAGGGGCCCATGACAGATTACGGGCCTGGCAGCAGCAATGGGAGGCCCGTAATCTGCCAGCACCCTATGACAAAATGGAACCCACCAGCAGTGTGAGGAGACCTGAAAGTGGCACATGGCAGAGTGTGGCGATGGAGACAGCAGCAATGGGAGGCCGTACAAGGACCCATGACACACTCTGGACCTGGCAGCAGCATGAGGAGGCGGTACAGGGGCCCATGACAGATTACGGGCCTGGCAGCAGCAATGGGAGGCCCGTAATCTGCCAGCACCCTATGACAAAATGGAACCCACCAGCAGTGTGAGGAGACCTGAAAGTGGCACATGGCAGAGTGTGGCGATGGAGGCAGCAGCAATGGGAGGCCGTAAAGGGACCCATGAGACACTCTGGACCTGGCAGCAGCATGAGGAGGCGGTACAGGGACCCATGACACACTCTGGACCTGGCAGCAGCATGAGGAGGCGGTACAGGGGCCCATGACAGATTACGGGCCTGGCAGCAGCAATGGGAGGCCCGTAATCTGCCAGCACCCTATGACAAAATGGAACCCACCAGCAGTGTGAGGAGACCTGAAAGTGGCACATGGCAGAGTGTGGCGATGGAGACAGCAGCAATGGGAGGCCGTACAGGGACCCATGACACACTCTGGACCTGGCAGCAGCATGAGGAGTCGGTACAGGGGCCCATGACAGATTACGGGCCTGGCAGCAGCATGAGGAGTCGGTACGGGGGCCCATGGCAGATTACGGGCCTGGCAGATGACGACGAGGCTGCCAAGTGCGATCAGCCTCATCATCATCAATTAGGGTCTCCGCCTCACTACTAGCCCCCTCGGCTGCGTGTGGGTCAGGAGACAGACCTGTCTCTAGACCGGCTACCGAGCCACTCTCCTCGCCAGTACTTCTTCGCCTGGCTGCTGAAGAGGCGGATGTCTCCCCCCGTTCCTGACCGCCCTCTGTTAGCTCTTCCTCACTGTACAGTGGGGCTGAGCCCACAGCATGCGATACTTCGCTTGGTGAGGGAACACCAAAGGACAGGGGCAGGTAGAGGACACGTGATTTCAGTGGGCTTGCTCCCGGGCCATGCCAACTAACGGTTGTGTCTGACGTACCCACCGACCATTGGCTGTAGGTGTCAGAGGTGACCTGGGAAGAGGAAGACGACCGAGCCAACCAATCGATGACGGCAGGGTTGTCGGTGGAGACACGACCGCTGGATGACACCGGGAGCACTGGCCTCTGGCTGCGACTAGTGCTGCCTCGACCCCTTCCTCTGCTGCCACGTCTGCTCGCTCCTGAAACATTGCCTCCTCTGCCACACTCCTCTGCGTGTTGTCTGACATACTCTTTAATTCAACGATTCTGTGTCCCTGAGTAACGATTCTGTGTCCCTCAGAACAATTCTGTGTCCCTGAGTAACAATTCTGTGTCCCTGATAACGATTCTGTGTCCCCGCAGTAACGATTCTGTGTCCCTCAGTAACAATTCTGTGTCCCTGAGTAACAATTCTGTGTCCCTGAGTAACAATTCTGTGTCCCTGAGTAACAATTCTGTGTCTGTCCTTGAGTAACAATTCTGTGTCCCTCAGTAACAATTCTGTGTCCCTGAGTAACAATTCTGTGTCCCTGAGTAACAATTCTGTGTCCCTCAGTAACAATTCTGTGTCCCTCAGTAACAATTCTGTGTCTGTCCCTGAGTAACAATTCTGTGTCTGTCCCTGAGTAACAATTCTGTGTCTGTCCCTGAGTAACAATTCTGTGTCCCTGAGTAACAATTCTGTGTCCCTGAGTAACAATTCTGTGTCCCTCAGTAACAATTCTGTGTCCCTCAGTAACAATTCTGTGTCTGTCCCTGAGTAACAATTCTGTGTCTGTCCCTGAGTAACAATTCTGTGTCTGTCCCTGAGTAACAATTCTGTGTCTGTCCCTGAGTAACAATTCTGTGTCCCTCAGTAACAATTCTGTGTCTGCCCCTGAGTAACAATTCTGTGTCCCTGAGTAACAATTCTGTGTCCCCTCAGTAACAATTCTGTGTCTGTCCCTGAGTAACAATTCTGTGTCCCTGAGTAACAATTCTGTGTCCCTCAGTAACAATTCTGTGTCTGTCCCTGAGTAACGATTCTGTGGCCCTAAAGTCTCTCTGGCCCTAACTCTGTCCCTAATACAGACAGGTCTGTCTCTCTTGAATGACCGGAGGCTAATGGAGAATTGTAAGATGGCCGCAATTTATAGCTCCACCATTACACAGTGCTGGCTGGCTGGCTGCTGATTGGCTAATGCGATCACATGTCATGAATGAATGCATTATGGGTCAGTGCGCCTTGTCTGCGCGCCTTCCCAGAGATCCCCGCTCCATCGCCACACATGTCGCCGCCATTTTTGGGAAAATTCGATTCGTGCATCCGAAGTTGGCTAATTTTCGGATTCGGCGCAAATCGAATATTTCCCAATATTCGAAACGAATTCCACTTCGCCATGTTCGATTCGCTCATCTCTAGTCATATACATTGCTGTATGCACACTACAAACCCCCATAATTCATCTCAGGAGTGAGCAAGACAGGGTGGCTACATTCCTACATACAGTGGGACCAAGGAGAAGGAACGTAGCCACCCTCTAATACACAGGTGTCAAACAGTGGCCCTCCAGCTGTTGTCAAACTACAAGTCCCATGAGGCATTGCAAGACTGACAGTTACAAGCATGATTCCCAAAGGCCGAGGCATGATGGGACTTGTAGTTTTGCAACTGCTGGAGGGCCGCCAGTTTGATACCCCTGGTCTAACAGGAAGTTGGATTACAGCTGCAAAAAAAAAAAAGATTGGAGATTTGGAGGAGGCTGAGAGCAATATGATTTTTTGTTTAGTTAAAAATACATACTTGAATAGGATATAAAGTATATTTGTTTTTAAACCCAAGTTTAGTGTTACTTTAAAGAAGCACTGCATTTTTTTAAAAAAACACAAACGCTTGTTTTCAAATAGTTCTAATGACCCCTGCCAGCCTGTAAAATTGTTCTCTTTAGGCAATCTGTTCTTTTTAATACTACTTTTTTTTAGAAAAATCTAATTTACAGTTAGATAAACAAAACCGATGATTATATCACAACTACATTTTTGACATTTAAAAACATGTATGCCTGCTTGTCACAATAAATATAATTTGATAACGGCGCAGCCTCTGAAAATGGTGGCCTTGGCCTTGTAATTAGCTGATAATGTCCCAGAAATAAAATACTTATGAAAGGATTGCTAAATGCCAACAATTTAACAGCTTACAAGATAGCTGTACTCCAGCGGTATGTACAGTACTTGTAATAATAACGGCTTTTATTATACACTTTCCTTTTAGTGCTACTGACATTTTAAGTTGTTCTTTCCAGCGACTCCAGAAAGCTTTGGAATGCCTACGGTATGCCATGTATTTATAGGAAGACTCTATACTGACCTTATTAAGTAAAAATTGCACAAATCGGTATATTTTCCCGTTGACCCCTGTTGAGTAATGTGCTATGGTCTTCAGGATGTCATGCCTGCCAGCAAATGCCCTTCCATTCTAGAATGTTATTAACTGTGATTCTTGAGTCACTGTCAGTAAAGGATGGAGAACTTGCTGCAAAGTCAGCCAATCAGAAGCAAGGAATGAGACTGTGCCTACTGTGGCACATAAGGTAAGTTCTTTCTATTTAATTGATGGGCTAAGGATTGGAATAGCAGCAGCATACAAAGAAAATATTTGGATAGTCACCAAAGGAGGATGTTAGATCAAGGGTTTACATTTTTTTGACTTTTTAGGTATTCTATATTCATAATGAAATTTTCATCACGTCCCAAAACAAGAAGTACAGAAAACAACACAAAGCACATTTTTCTTCGCAACTGTAAAACAATAAAGACATGAGAACCCAAGAATAAATTACTTTTGAAAATCACGTACTAGGCTGGGTAGAGGCCCTTGCCCCCTCAGGGATAGGTCATGAGCAGGTCATTATGTTCTGTTTAAAAGGGTCAACATTTTCATGTCAGTGTGCCAGAATTTTTTGGACTTTTATAAAGCATGGAGAAAAGTATGCCCTGAGAGATCACATCATGCTGGCCCTAATGCATTGTTTCATCCTGCTCTGCACATGCTCAGTTGCTCTCTATTTTGCTGCATTGTGCAGGAAATTTAGGTGCCAATCTGCTGACAGCTTAAAGATTTATTTCTGCTCAGGGGCTCTGGACTTCAGCAAAATGGCAGCCTCCAGCAAGAAGAAACAGGAACAATGCTGAAGGCAATTTAAAGCACACACTGTTTTTGGTGGCATAGTTATTAGTGTGGAATGCATGTTCCTTGCTAAAGAATGTTATTTTTTATCAAGTTGTTATGGGCAAAATTCCACTTTAAGGAACAATTTCCATTTTAGAATGTAACAGGTCTTATTTGATCTTAAAGTATCTAAGAAGATCTTACATTTTACCTGTGTGCTTAAAACACTAGAAAAGTGATAGGCAATGCAGATATTGCCAGGTGCTCTTGAAAATCTAAGGCAGATAGGTTACTCATCAGTCTTCATTCCCTCACCTCCTGATTGGCCAGTGAGGCCACCCATAAGGATGCATTAGAGTTACATGGGGATATCACATTCTGATACATCATCCTGATGTTCTAAGTATGGATTTAAGTACGTGCATGTCATCCTATCACCACTTTCTAATATATATGAAGCCAACAGATTTATTGATTTTGCCCTCAAGCTTTGTAACAAACACCCTAGATACTTCCCCTTGCCTTCGTTTCACCATGATAGGACCTGAAATTGTTGTCCTGTTTCCAAAATGTTGGAACTGTATGACACTAACTATGTCTCCCTCCCAACAGCTCCACATGTGACAGTGCTTGGCCTGGGTACTCGCTGCTTGGGCACCTAACACTAAATTGTGAGAGTCAGTGGAGTGCCACTGACTCCCGCATACAAAGAAGTACCAAGTTGTTCTTACAATTTGTTCCCATGGATAGAGGCCATGGGAGGGTAGGTGTGATAAAAGTAAGGAAGCATCTTAAAATGTTGTTTACAAAACCAGAGGGTTATCGAACTAATCCTGAACTGAGTATAGGTTTACTTTAAAGTGGTTGTAAACCTCTGAAATGAAAAATAAACAAACCATATCGTTGTGTAGTGTGTACTTACCTCTATCAAAAGCACCTAGTGTAATTTATGTCTTCTCTCTCCTCTATCTGCTGAATCACTTCTAACAGTCTATGCTGAGACCAGACAATCCTGGAAGATGCCCTCCCCCCATTCCAGTACAAAGCTGCGATTGAGTGTTTCACTATGAGACTGTGTAGAGTGGGATGTGTCAATTCCTTTCACTCAGGTCTCAGATTACACTTTGCTCTCTGATGCGCAGGTTGTGACATCAGACTCAGACTCCTACCCCCTGCCTATTGAATGTCAGGGCTCCGGGAATGACCGTGTGTGGACCGACACAGGGAACCACAGACTTCAGGTATAGCGTGTAAACAAGATAATTCATTAAGGACAACACAAACATAAACGCAGTGCAACAAACCAAACCCAAAACTAACACAAATACATACAACAAGGTGAAACAAACCCAAATCTAAACTGATATATATATATCTATGTATATATATATATATATATATATATATATATATATGAGCAC